GTTGGGGACCGCTGATCTAGGGTAGGGGTACGTACCATAACCTCATGTCATGTCACAAAACACATAAATAACCCGGTAGCCTAGAACACAAAACCAGTGGCTGACACTACTACTCTTTGTTTAAAGTCCAGTGGATTTGATTCTATCCCTAAAATCCCACAGGTCTGATTCTTTGGTAGGTTTTGTAAGACTCACTTAAATGATTAATAATGATCAATATTAAAGTGAAAACAGCCAAAACAAAGCAGCCTGCAATGGAAAAACAGATGGTGGTGCCAGTGTCCATCAGTCTGTACGACTTGTTGTACTTTGGCATCAATCAGCGGCGCATCAATGAAATTATTCTATTTTTCATCCTGTAAAAACGGAACTGAAATGACATATCGAAGTAAACCCGAGTCGACGTTTGCTTGGGAAGTATTTTGATGAAACCAAGCCCATCGGCATCTGAATTATTGATAAGCAGAATATTTGATCAAGAGCTTCTTAATCTCTGTCCAAACTCAGCTGCTAATGTGATGTTTCCAAACAGTCTGAGCGAACGCGTCGCCAGATGAAGGAAAGAGGCAAACAAACCAATTATTGGAAGAACGGGACCAAGATGGCTGATATTTGACAAACCGTGATGAAGTCCAGTGAGCTGGAGTTAAATCAGTCAGCGCCAGCTGGGGGGGGGGGGATAGTATAAAGGTGAATGCATGTGCTGAGCGTCATGTGGCTGCTAGCCTAATTTGTGTTTATTTCGGCTAAATGACGCAGTGATTTTAATATTGTGTGATAGTGGCGGTGTATGTGTTTCTATCCCTAGGCTACAACCTTCAGGGGCTCAGAAACCAGCCACATGGTCACATTTATTTCTGCCAATGCTTTTATTTTGTCTCTTGGATTTTAACTCTAATGTTGCTGCTTTTTCCAGTCACTTCATATAATTTGTGTATATTTTTTGTTTTTATTAAATGCTGCCCTTCTTTAAAACGCACCAAATAAATGAATAACAGCCAGTCAGGCCCATTCGTGTGCTTGACATTGGTAAAGGGGAAAAAATATTCACCATTTGAGCTTCCAGATTCAATAACTCAGACATGAAATGATACGAAACCTCTTTCTGACTGCGGTAAAGTCCAGTACAGCATGAAAAACACGAGTAAGAAGTGACCATTGTGGCTAAGGCAGCCACGGCTATAAAAGTATTTATTCAAATATATTTTTGCATAATTCAGGGCAGTTTTTATTGCCCGACTGTACGGCCCACAGCTGCACAAACAGTCTGGTTTCAGGTTTCCTAGCTGGATAATTTTGATGTCGATTGTTACAGCTTGGACATCATAGTCAGACTTCCAGGTCTGAGGCTGGAACAAGGCTGATTGCTCCCTCTTGGTTAAGGAGTTGTTGTCCCAAGCAAGGAGCTGAAGTATCCTGAGTTCTTGTTAATGAGTGATGGGAAGGAAGGTGCAAGACCGACGGACTGACGTGCCATCCAACGTTCGCAGTCAGTATATTTGTGGCAACGAGAGAACTGAGCTGAGCTCACACGACCACCAGCTGTGGGTCGCGGCCAAAAGAGTATAATCTCAGCTAAGAGTGCAAGAAAGGAGCTTCCTCTGAAGGGCGTGAAGGTGACTCTGATGAAGGAGATGGCGAGAGGAGATCCGGGCATCTCTGCTGAGACTGCTGCAAGCAGCAAAGAAATGATGCATGGATGGAGCACTTCGACGGCGTCCTCTGTCACCACAATCTTTTATTACAACGATTAGTTTAGCAAAAAAAGGGCTTTTATCACCTGCTCTCACCAAACCTTTGAAGCGTCAACACTGGCAGGCATGAATATATAAATGAGTGAGTTGGTCAGGCCGGGACACAGCACTTTGGGGCAAAGCCACATAATGTTGGTATCAAATGTCACAGCGAAGGTAGTAAAGATAACACGTCATTTAGATGTGGCACTATGTCGCAGGGAGCTCTTTGCTCTTCCCACAGATTTCCTTTCGTTCGTATTTCCTCCGAGCAATGTCAGCGAGGTCTGTCGCAGGTGTGCAGATGTGCACACATCACTCAGTAACTGCTCTCTGTGATTGCCGTCCGTTATATCTGAGAGCCCTCGTGGTTTTTTGCTGCATTGTTTTGTTTCTAGTTATTGTTTCTGCATAATGACGGGGTTTCGCTTTTTGTGTGCGTAGGTATGAAATTGAACTTGATTTGAACTAAAACCAGCAGCAGTTTATGTCATTCACTCCAGAGTAAGATGGTTGTAACAACGTGCAAAGGTAAAAGCAGTGCTGTAAAATTAGTGATTGGGGTGGCCGGGTAAACCAAGCGTCTAACACAAACGCTTCGTATCGTCCTCACCGGGATTTATTTATGCAAATCCAAATCTTTACTACAGAGGTGTTGAACAACAAATCAGACGGCCCGTAAATCTGCCTCTCGCGCCGCTCAGCCATCACGGGATAATGAGCGCAAATCATCCGTCCCATCAGCAAGCCAGAATGACAGGCAGTCGACCAGTAAGCCATCCAGTTGGCCGGTCAGTCAGTTGTGGCAACAGCATAGTGTGAGATTATCTGGAGCATGTGATGTATGTGTTTACACCTCGCTCCCTCCGTCTGCCTCTCCTCTGTGTGATTGTCTCTCCACCTGAGTGCCTCTCCATCGGCGTCTGACTCACTCTTTTCACCTTCTCCTCTGAGAGTGTGCGACTGTGCACACTAAACGTCTGGACTCTCAGAGCTGAAAATTACTCTGCGTCGGCACTCGTGCGTGTGTGTGTGTGTGTGTGTGTGTGTGTGTGTGTGTGTGTGTGAGTCATTGATCTGCTGATTCATTCATTAAACTGTCAAAATGTGTTACAACCGAGGAATGTTTGGAAGCAGCAGTCTGGTCGTGTTTTATAGTTTTCCTCAATGAAAACAAACCACACCAGCAGCACACTGATCTCACCAGCAGGTGTTCTATGTCGTCTCTCAGAACAAGACGGACAGTGTCTACTTGGTGCCACGTACCAAACATATAAAATGCACGATGATTACCCAAAATGTACTTTTGCTGAGTCAGTGCTTGTGTTCTTATACATCATAAAGAACACAATTGGTGTCAATATATGATTGAAGCTAACATCCCGTCCCACTCTCCTGTGATACTGATGGAGTTGTAAAGAAAAAATAAATTGTGCTGAACGACAACAAGCAAAGCAACAAATGCGTTACAAGATCCTGTGAGCGCGACACCGAGGCCTTCCACTTCTGCGTAGGTTTTGCATTTCATCCTTTTCAAGGTGTGTTGCGTGTATTTATATCTTTGTGTGGACCAAAAATTGCAAGTTTACTGTACTTATAGGGACCAAAATCCAAGTCGCACAAGTTGAAGGAATTTTAGAGACAAAATATGTGGTTTTAGTGTCAGGGTTACAGTTAGGCTATGTTTAGGGTAAGGTTAGTGCCTGTGCGTGTGATTAGGAAACATGCCTGTATTTTGTGTCCTGCTGAGATTCCTTATTATGTTACACTTCATTCCTCATTCGGTGCAGACCAGACCAGACTCATTGAGCGCCTATGGTGTTGCTTCAGACTATTAACCATCTGTCTCTCGCTCTCTCTCCCTTTTTTTCCTCCTGCAGGAGTTTGGAGGTCTAGTAGGATGCTGAGTATCTTTCCTCCTCGCCACTGCTCTCAACCCTGCTCTCCATGACCTGAGAGTGCCACCACAGCGGGAGGAACGAAACACTAGAGAGAGAGAGAGGAAGAGGAGGACAGAAGGCCAGGGAAGAAAGGCAGGCCGGAAGGAAGAGACTTTTTTTGTTGTTATTGTTTGGTTTCCCTTTCTGAGATGGCGGCAACGGAGGCCAGCACAGCACCAGTGCTCCAGGAAGATGGAAAAAGCACCGAAAATAAGCCAGCAGAGGTGGAGCAAGCGGCCAAAAACGCCAACACGAGCTCAGAGACTGTCAACGACGAGGCTGTCGATAAAGACGGCACAGCCGTCAACAGCGAGGTTGTCGAAAACAAAGAGACTGTGAATAACGACACAGCGGTGGCGGACACAGTGGAAACTGAGGAGGGGGGAGCCGCCGCGGCGGCAGGCGAGGATGCGCCGCCGCCTCAGAGCTGCGAAAACACCACTTCCTCTGAACCCAAGACCTCGTTCCTGGACTCCTTCCTCAACAAGAGTGGCCTGGGAAAGGTGATGGGTGGAAGGAAGAAGAAAGAGCAGAGCGCCCCCGCGGCTGGAGGAGAGGAGGGCGCGGCTGAAGGAGGGGAGAAGGAGGCCGACAAAGGAGGGGAGGAAGCTGCAGCAGCAGCAGCAGCGGAGGGAGGAGCAGAAGGAGGTGCAGAAGGTGAGGCGGCGACAGAGAAGGCTGCGGAAAATGGAGAGAAGGAAGACGAGAAGAAAGCGGAGAAGGGCAAACCAGCCGAGGCGAAATCCACAGTTCGAGATTTGATCAGGAAGCCTGTGGCGAGAATCTTCTCCCATCGCAGCACTGAGAAGAAGGAGGGCGCCGCTGCAGAGCCCCAGAAACCAGTAAAGGTCCGGTCTAAGTCTCTGGACCGGCTGGAAGATCCCGAAGCACTTAACACCACTGCAGACTCCATCGTAGAAGAAGGAGGAGCAGCGGGAGGTGCAGAAGGGGAACAGAAAGCCTCGGCCTCTTCAGCAACCACTAAGCACATGAAGCGCTGGCACTCCTTCAAGAAGCTCATGGCTCAGAAGGCACACAAGAAGACTGGAGGAGGTGAGGATGGGAAAGAGGAAGGAGCAGAGGGAGAAGGAGGTGGCGGAGACTCCTCCACACTTGACTCCAAAGAGTCAGGCCAGAAGAGGTGGAAGCTCAAACGCTCCTGGACCTTCCAGGGCTTGAAGAGGGACACCTCCATGTCCGGCATCAGCGGCAAGGCCAAGGGCTCCGACAAAGACTCCGCTGAAAACGCCAAGCCCGAGGAGCCTGCAGGAGGAGCTGAGGGAGGAGAGGAAGCAGCTAAGGCAGAGGGAGGAGCAGAGGAGGGCAAGACAGAGGGAGGGGAGGAGAAGGAGAAAGCAGAGGGAGGTGAGGAGGAGAAGGCGGCGGCAGCAGGTGGAACGGTGACACAACACGCCAACGAGATCTGGACCTCCTTCAAGAAGCGGGTCATCCCCAAGAGCAAACGCACCAACACGGAGTGCCACCCCGGAGGCGAGGAGGAGGCGCCTGCGGCCTCGGGTGAGTCAGCGCAGAGTCGAGCGCGCGAACATAACTGGTCTTTACGAAGTCTTCATCTGACCTCAGTCACCCTGACGTCAGCCAGCCAAAGCAGTTGCAACCGTCTTTATCCAGGCTGTCAGTGAAGCATGTGCAGGTCCAGTGGCTGCAGGTGTGTAACCGCATTCTGCAGGTATGTGGGCGTTAGTGTGGGAGGAGCCAAGGCTGATAATGTTAGCCACACTCGGCAGACTCTTGCTTTAATTTAGGCTTGTTTTACTCATAAATGCAGCCTTTTAACGGCTTCAACTCTGCACATCAAGATGTTCTTCTAAAGGACAGGGTGTGGGCATCCGTGCGTGACGAGTGACCGTGTTGGTGTTACGCTCATCAACTCTTGAAACTTTAGAGGTTCCTCTTTAAAATCCCTCCATCCATCCATTCGCTTCTGCTCATCCAGTTTTTTTAAATTATAACCAAATGAAACTCATTTAATATCTCGCCAGTTATCACATGACCTGCACTGGGGGTTTGGCCTTTAGATTGAGAATCGCTGCACTTTGGGCGTCGTCATTTCCAGGTTTCTGCTTCATGATCTTTTGGAGGAAGTTAAAGCGAGCAGAGATGTATTAAGAGTCTGACTGCTGGTCTTAAGCGTTGCTGTGTTTTTGTCAGCGCCACAGTTGGACACCGTTTAAAAATTCAGCTTCTGAAGCCGGCAGCTTGTTTGCACTCGTTTCAGTCTGTCGCTCTCCACCAAGGACACGCAGGAGTTAAAGGCTTGCTAACTCTGGGGGAGGTAATGTAATTGAACATTGTCCCGAATAAAATATTCAACGGGTGATGTGAAATTCAAATTACAGCATAACTTAGGTCAACAGAAGAGACTAAATTAAGCTTTACTTTCTGCTCTTTCTTCACAAGAACACAGCAGAGTGAAAATGAGAGATTTGTTTCTTTAATGGCTGAGAAAATATTCCACCTTCTTTGGTTCAGAGTTGAAATTTCATGTTTTAATTTTAAAAATAAAAGTTTGTTCTTGTTTTTTTTGCTTTAAGATAAGAAAAACTTTATTCATTGGGAAACATGGCAGCTCAAATATTCACCACAACCTGAAAAAAACTTAAATAACATGATGTCATTGTTATCCAAAAGGGCTTATTCCTGTTCCTGCCTTTCACAATAAAAGACCTCAACAGAAACGGTGTAATGATCCTTGGATGATCTGATATCGTCGTGTTTGTGTTCCCAGATCATCATGAAAATGTTGTTTCAGGATCAACATTGCAAGTGACCAATCACATTGTTGTGACGTTATTCTTTTGCGCACCAAGCCATTCGTTCATTTATGAAATTCCAAATTTTGCAAGTACAATATCAGTTCTGCTTACCGTTTACCGTTTATTAAAGGGTTAGGGTCAGGGTCCGTTGATCGGCGGAAAGAAGCGGTTTCTCGCAGCTTAAGTACAGTTTTTTGTTTTACGGCAGTTTTTCCTGAAGTCGCAAAAGTATGACGTCACAACATTCTGATTGGCCACTTGCAATGTTGATCCTGGAACAACATTTAATATGATGATCTGGGAACAACACCAACACAACGATATCAGATCGTGCAATGATCCTTAACGTAGAAGAAGGAAAATCTTAAAAAAGAAACCAAACTACAGAAATATCAGCGCTTTACAAAATAGACTCGACAGCTTATCTTTGGTTTTACTACTTATCAGCTGTTTTCTTAAAAAGGAAATGAACATTTGTCTTTTTGTTTGAAGAACCTGATTGAATGAATTTCATGAATGTTTGCCAAGTGTAAGAAAGGACCACATTAGCAAAATTAATGAAATCATAAAAGAAGAAGAAAGAGAAAACAGGGATGTATTTGATAAGACGTGATATGATAAGGTCTTACAGTCTTCAGTGTAATTAGCTTAAATGTTGGCACCGCGCTGGGTGAGCAGCGGCGTGAATACGATAACGTGAGAATGAGGATTTTTACATTGATGCCATAGGTGGAGCTACTAAAAATATCGGACAAGTTAGAAGCTTAGAGATCTGGACCTCAAGGACGAGGTCAGACTCTAATATTTTTAATCAATAAATTTGTTTTTAGTAATATAAATATTTGCTAACACTTGATGAACACTTCTTCCACTCACCTGCTGTAATCCTGTGTGACTAATTGATGCACACCCTGATGAACTTTAACCTCAAATGCTTTTTTCCACTCCAGGTGAGGAAGGCGCCACAGAGGACGGCAAAGATGGAAAGTCGGCCAAAGCCAAGCGCTCACATTTTGGCCGTGCGGTTTCCCTGAAGAACTTCATCATGCGGAAGGGCAAATCCACCAGTGTGGACACGGGCGAGGGCGCCAAGGAGGAGGAGGCCGCAGAGGGAGGAGAGGCAGCGGCGGCGACAGAGGAGGGAGGCGCTGACGGCGAAGCTGCCGCAGCGATCGCGGAGGCCAACGACAAAGATGCAGTGACGGCAGCTGAGAAGACACCAGCGGAGGAGAGTGGAGCGGAGGTGGCGAAGGAGCCGGAGAAGGAGCCGGAGAAGACAACGGCCGAAGCTCCGGTGACCAACGGGGAGAATGGCTGCTCCAACGGCACAGAGGAGGAGAACGCCACACATAATCACCAGGAGGAGGAGGAGGAAAAGACAACGGGGAGCAGCCCCATGAAGAAGAGCAAGGAGGCGGGAGGGGTGAAAGATGAGGCCAACGCCAAGATCATCAACGCCACGGCGGCCGTGAACAGCGGTGAGTTAGAGCACGCCGACCGGGACTCTGACGAGCCTCAGAACAGCAGCAGCAGCAAAGATGGAGAAGCTAACGGCAAACGGCAAGAAGCGCTAACAAACGATAGCAATAAACGTGCCGCACACAGGGACCGCCAGACGCAGATAGCATTAGCTGTTAGCGGGGAGAAGGGGGAAGGGCAGGGGGTGGCGGAGTCTCCGCAGAATGGAGGTTGTCACGATGCTGAAGATTCACATGACCAGAGAGAGGGTGAGGAGGAGGAAATGAGGAAGAGGGATCTAAGAGAGGCGGCCGTGGTCATTGTTCAAAACGTGATGTCAGCAGCAACCGACCAATTAGAGAAGGAGCTGTGTGTGGACAATGGGTTAAACGGGTGCTATGATGCTGATGCCAGATACTAGGAACACACGCACGTGATGCAGTGAAATGTGACAATGT